AAGGGGGACCTAGGGGTTTGGGGAGAGATGCATTTTCCCTTTTTTTTTAAAGGGAAGGGGATAAAAAGGGGTGCAAAAATTATAGGGGGAAAGTCTTTTTGAGTGTACGGTAAAATGTATGGTAAGTTATAAAAGAAAGAATTTAAAAGTAAACGGAGAATAGGTAGCAGATGAACAAGGAGGCTTTAGGAAAGGAGGGGGTGTGGGACCAGGTTTTTAAGTGAAACATATAAGTGAACAGTAAATTTGTAAGGCTAAAAAAGTCTTTGTGGGATTTATGGATTTTGGAAAAAAGGGGTTTTGACAGGGTGGTAGGGGGGCAATGTGGCAGAGTTGCAAGGTATGGTGTAGGGGTAGGTTACTAAGCAGTGAAGAGTTTTTCGAGGATAGTGACTCAAGTTGAGTATGTGGAAAAAAGGGGAAATTTTTCCCGTAAAAGTAGGCCTTAGACAAGGATGTGTTGTCCCCCGTGGTTGTTTAATATATTTTTGATGGGGTTGTAAGAGAAGAAATGCGGGGTCTTGGGAAGAGGGGTTGGAGTTAAAGATAAGAATCACCACAAAATGGGAGTTGTCACAGCTGCTCTTTGTGATGAACGGCTCTTGGGGGTTCTGAAGAGAAGTTGCAGAGATTGTGGTGAATTTTGGTAGGGTGTGCAAAAAAAGAAAAATTAAGGGAAAAAGGAAAGATAAGGTTATGAGGATAACAAAAAGTTAGGTGAGAAAAATTGAATATCAGTTGGGGGGAGAGTATGGAGGAGGTGAACGTATTCAATATTTGGGAGTGGAGTGTCAGCGGATGGGTCCTTAAAAGAGGGGAAACAAAAATTGATGAGGGAAAAGGGGTGGTGCCCTTGGGCTGTGGAGCAAAGAACTTTGTCCTTGGAGGCAAAAAGGGGAATGTATGAAGTATATTTTACCAACGCCTTATAGGGTGTGAACGGGGGTGATGAATGTTGCAGCGGGGAAGGGTGGAGGGGTGGAGATGTCATGTCTGAGGGCAATGTGTGGGTGAATTTAAAAAGCAGAGAATTCGTGTTTGGAAGTTAGGGGGAGGTGGGGATTACCAAAATGTTGTCCAGAGGGTGGGGAAAAGGTTTTTGAGGTGGTTCGGACTGTAGAGAGAATGGAGCAAAACAGAAAAACTTAAAGTGTATCAGTCTGTAGTGGAAGGAAGGGGGGGAGGGGGTCGGCCCCAGGGAAAGGGGTTTGGGGGGAGGGGGTAAAGGGGTTTTGTGTGCGAGGGGGTTGGACTTCCGCGGCCCTGCGGGGAGCGTGTTTGATAGGAGTGAATGGAGACAAATGGTTTTTAATACTTGACGTGCTGTTGGAGTGTGAGCAAAGTAACATTTATGAAGGGATTCAGGGAAACCGGCAGGCCGGACTTGAGTCCTGGAGATGGGAAGTACAGTGCCTGCACTCTGAAGGAGGGGTGTTAATGTTGCAGTTTAAAAACTGTAGTGTAAAGCACCCTTCTGGCAAGACAGTGATGGAGTGAGTGATGGTGGAAGTTTTTCTTTTTCGGGCCACCCTGCCTTGGTGGGAATCGGCCGGTGTGATAATAAAAAAAAAAAAAAAAAAATCAAATTAATTTTCCTCATTGATATTAATTGATATGCCATTAGTCCGTGCCAGCCCCCAAAAAACCACCCCATTTTTTTTCCACAGGTTTTTAAAAAAGAAAAATGTATTTATAAATAAGAAATGATTTTTGCCTTTTTCACCAGGTCCTAGCAATGTTTTAGAATTTTTTTTTTTTTCCAACAAACCGGCCATATCCCACCAAGGCAGGGTCTCCCAAAAAGAAAAACAAAAGTTTCTCTTTTTAAATTTAGTAATTTATACAGAAGGGGTTACTAGCCCCTTGCTCCTGGCATTTTAGTCGCCTCTTACAACACGCATAGCTTACGGAGGAAGAATTCTGTCCCACTTCCCCATGGAGATAAGAGGATATAAACAAGAACTAGTAAGAAAATAGAAGAAAACCCAGAGGGGTGTGTATATATATATATGCTTGTACATGTATGTGTAGTGTGACCTAAGTGTAAGTAGAAGTAGCAAGACGTACCTGAAACCTTGCATGTTTATGAGACAAAAAATGGACACCAGCAATCCTACCATCATGTAAAACAATTACAGGCTTTCGTTTTATACTCACTTGGCAGGACAGTAGTACATATACCTTCCTGGGCGGTTGCTGTCTACCAACCTACTACCTAGGTGTTTTAGAAATGCTGGAGTATATATGAAACTCCTTGAAGCATGGTGTAAGATAAGTGTCACTCCACTGCTGACAGTGCAGCACTGAAGTGACATTTGATGATCGTGCACTGCCTTGGCTTTATTTTTCACTGTTACACAAACATGTCTATCTGTTTCTGTCTATTTGTCTGTCTAGCTCTATGTTCATCTCTATATCTGCTTATCTGTCTTTCTCTCTGCCTGTGTTTCTGTTTTCCTGTCTCTCTCTACTTGTCTGTCTCAAAGAGAGCTGCTCATGAACCAACAGGTATTATACACAATGCAGAGTCGTCACGTCTGATTCCTGAACAAATGAAAACGTGTATTACTTGCCAGTCATGCTTATTATGCCTTATATCTACAAGCATAGTACAGCACTTTGTCTGGATTTTTTGGGTTATCCTAGGTAATTTACACTACGTATCACTATTTGTGCACCTGTGATATAGACAGAGATAGACACACACACAGACACAGACAGGAAATAGACAGAGCCAAAGCAAATCAGCCAGACAGCCAGCTGCTGGCCAGCCAGCCTACCAAATATGTATTACACGTTCCAGAATTGTTTCTCTTTACTTAGGGCATACATTATAGAACATTCAGGCAGGATGACACTACCAGTGGTATCAAAATTGAAAGGATGTTACACATTGGTTATTTTTGAGGTTTTTGATATTTCCTTGGTATCTCCTACAAGTGGCAGCATACATTTACAATATATTTATACAAGTTTTGTTATCAACATTGTCCTTAAAACAATGGACTAATATAACTGATTTTTCTTGTCTTAAGAAAAATACCTTACAAACACTTGTAGAAACAAGACTGGGAGTGACACAGCACATTTCTGCTCATGTACTGTCTTTGTCTGATTGTATCATTTGTTGTTTATATTACCACTGGTATCACCTTTGATCTGTTTTCATTTTATACAATATTTTCTATTAATAAAATATCTTAAATCATCGGAGAGGATTCAATTATTCTACATGTTTTATACATGGTTTTATTTGCTGTCTCCATTAAAATGTAGTAGATTACACAGCATGTGGTATATGTTACTGCAACACCATTATACCAATGTTCACCCATAAAGTACTGAAGCTCATTAATTCTTTTTAATCTATGCAGTAAATAATTCCAGAAATGGCCATAGATCCATGCAATGAAGGACAGAATATGAATTAAAAAAGATTTGTTATAATAAGAGTGAAATCACTAAATTTGATAACCACTTACAAAATCATGAGAGGATGTGATACAAGAGACAGGGTAGCGTTTTTATAACAAAAAGGGACGACAACAGGATACAGTAAACAATACTGCAAATAAAAATCCTATAAATTAGATTACATGAAGTATTTCTTGACATATACTTTTGTATATGATTGGCTTGACTTTCAAGAAGAGAATTGCCACACTTATTAAAATTTTATTATGATAAATAAACAGTTACAAAAGGCAATTATGCACAAATCCCCAGTATGATGCGTTCGACTAGTTTAACCCCTTCAGGGGTTTAAAAAAAAATGGAGGGGGGGAGAATCCATTTGCAAAGGTAATGAAACCAAAAGTATTAAATTTGATTGGAAAACTGAAAGAATTACGCTCTTGCAAAGTTGGTGGTCTCAGTGATAGTTACACATCGTCATTTTTGCTCACTTTGCACCCCATGTTTGGCCAATTCCACTCAACCAAACTTCTATTCTATTGACTGAGTACAAGAAATTGCCTATTCACCTATTTCACCTACCCAATAAAGTGATTGGCCAATTTCACACAAATTCAAAAATTGACAATTTAAAAATAGGCTCCAGAATAAACAATGTATACATCTCTGGCACTAAAAAAACATTTCCACCATTCTTTAGTCATGTCTCCAGGCCCCTTTTATATAAATCCTGCTTTTCATTTTGAATTTTTATTCACACAAAAAACAGATATATTGTTATGCAGACTACTGCATTACTGTAATAACTGTATAAATAATATCAGTCCATTCCTAAATGAGTATTAGACAGGCCAGTTGGATGCACATAAGACAAATGATGTCATTTGTGTACTCTGGAATATCAGCAAAATTCAAACATTTCTGCTACTTTGAGCTCAATTTCAAGCTATTTACAGTCTTGAAACTAATCAAAATAATTTCTATTTCTATCAAATGAGACCAAGAAACTGAGAATATAACCATAAAATCTATACAAAAAAAAAAAACCCACTGTTTTAAACCAAAAACACAGTTGCAGCTTTTCATTATGCACTATGTACTGCAAGATCTTTTTTTATGTGGTGCACACTTAACTGCATAGACCCAAATTTACCACTCACACCTTATCTGAGTTGAACTCATGGTGTAGTACTACGGGATCAACACTGACTTTAAAGTCGTTATATAACGGGAGTGACACTGAAAGGGTTAACAAGGCAAAAGTGCAGTGAAGGGAATGTCTTGAAATTGAAGGACTCTTGATTCAGGAAATTGGAGCTACTCTCCCTTTCCTTAGATCAAGCCAAATTGCTTCCCATTCCCCAGGCACTGACTCCTCTGGGTTTAGTGCTTCCCTAAGAACATATTAGTAAATTAGAGCAAGAATATGCATTGTACAAAATACTTCAAGGCATAGACAAGGACATGTTCTTCCCCATGAATTTAATAATAAATAATAATAATCTTTCACATGTAAGCTTAAATATAGTAGGTGATTACACAATATTTTCATCATTTTTTATAATTAATGGTAAATAGTAACTCACATCAAAAAAGGCTCGATCATCAACTTTCTTTGGTGCTCCTTGTGTTGGTCCTGACGGGATCACAGCAACAACATCAGACAACTCTGTGGGTGATTTTAAAACATATGTTTATAATCACTGCAATGTTTATATTTCTTTGGCAAAAAACCTTTCCCAACTACTGTACATTACTAAATGGAAGTGAATCAGTACACCAGGACTAGTAAATAAATACTGTATATAAATTTTATCCTCAATTTTAAGTACACAGTATTTTCAGATCAATCTGGTAATTCACCATGCATCTCATTTTCACACGTCTTTTCATCTTCATCCCTTCCATCTTTTGCTTCTGCCATTAAATGTTTCACATTGTTCATCTAAATCTCTAAATATATTTTGCTTACCTCATAAATGTTTAAAAATTAATCTTAAATGAAGTACAGGCATACCTTGCATTTTCTGCTTAATATTCACACCACACACTGCCCTTAGACAGGACATCTCCACTGCCTCTAACAGCCTCCTCGGTGCGGCATTTACAACCCAAGCTTCACAACTATATAAGAGTGTTGGTACTACTATACTTTCATACATTCCTTTCTTTGCCTCCATAGATAACGTTTTTTGTTTCCACATATACCTCAACGCACCACTCACCTTTTTTCCTTCATCAATTCTATGATTAACCTCATCCTTCATAAATCCATCGGCTGACACATCAACTCCCAAACATCTGAAAACATTCACTTCTTCCATACTACTCCTCCCCAATTTGATATCCAATTTTTCTTTATCTAAATCATTTGATACCCTCATCACCTTACTCTTTTCTATGTTCACTTTCAACTTTCTACCTTTACACACACTCCCAAACTCGTCCACTAACCTTTGCAATTTTTCTTTAGAATCTCCCATAGGCACAGTATCATCAGCATAAAGTAACTGTCAATTCCCATTTTGTATTTGATTCCCCATAATTTAATCCCACCCCTCCCCCTAACACCCTAGCATTTACTTCTTTTACAACCCCATCTATAAATATATTAACCATGGTGACATTACACATCCCTGTCTAAGACCTACTTTTACCGGGAAATAGTCCCCCTAATAAATAAAAACGTACTAAATAATCTTAAGGTAATAGGAAGCTTGTTCAGTGCTGGTGTTTGATGCAGTATAGTGTCTATTTCTTTCAAAGAAAATGGGTAAGGCACTAGGGCCAGAGAAATCAGTGACAGATAATATACTGCCAGTGACTATTATATTCTCCATGGGGAAGGGGAGCAGAATTCTTCCTCCATAAGCTGTGTGTGCTGTAAGAGGCGACTAAAATACGGGAAGCAAGGAGCTAGTAACCCCTTCTGTATAAATTACTAAATTTAAAGAGAAACTTTTGTTTTTCTTTTTGGGCCACCCTGCCTCAGTGAGATATGGCCGGTTCGTTGAAAGAAGATTATTACATGTAATACAAACCTTACCAGCATAAACTATGCTTAAAAAGTAACTAGGTTTTTTCTTTTAACACGCTGGCCATCTCCAACTGAGGTATGGTGGCCTGAAAAAGAAGAAACACTTTCACCAACACTCACTCCATCACTGTCTTGTCAGAGACACACTGACATTACAGTTCAAATGCCCCTCCAAACTGCAGTATCCTCACCCTATTTACCACCTCCAGGACTCAAGTTTGGCTTATTAGTTTCCCTGAATCCTACACCAACAGCACATCAAGTCATCAAAACCACTTGCCACAACTCATTCCTATCTAATGCACGCCTATAAAACCTTAAACTCTTTGTTTTTCTTGCCTGTTGAAGGCTAAGGGTCGCCATGTTTTATCAAATGACTATACTTGTACATTTTACAACATGACACCACACCATTCACTATACAATTCTCTTGTATGTAACAGTGATAAAGAAGACTTTCATCATACTTTAAATTCCTTGTTTTACTGCTTGTTAATAAAGAAACCATACCACGGGCGGGGTTTGAGCCCGCGGTCACAGTCTCAAAACTCCAGTCCGCGGGTTCAAACCCCACCTGTGGTATGGTTTGTTTGCAATCATGTCATTACAATTTCGTGAGTCATTTTAATAAAGAATTGTTGAAATATGTTTAATGTTATGTTAGCAGTGCAAGTAGAAGTCTGGGACCTGTTTGTTTTATCTGCTTACTCAATTTACACATCAGTTGATAACACCATCATGCAAGTATACAATTTTCTTGTTTATTTAAGTGTCAAGGAGGAATTTTGTCATACCTTAACCCTTTCAGCGTCCACAGACCCTTTCTTATGAAAAGATAGAGAATCTTTTCCTGATCATAATGGCACCAAAAGTATGAAATTTTATGGAAAACTTACAGAATTATGCTCCTGCGAAGTTAGCGGTCTCGACGATGTTTACACATCGGCAATTTTGCCCACTTTGAACCCTATTTTCAGCCAATTCCAGTACATTAATTGACAAAAATCATAACTATTTGCTAGAACTCCATTTTTTCTATCGAATGAGTACAAGAAACCACCCATTTACCAATTTCAACTATTCAATACAGTGGTCAGAATTTAGCAATTTTGCCAATTTCACACAAATTTCAAAAGATGCCAATTTCCAAATAGGGTCCAGAATAAACAAGAAAGATATTCCTGGCACTAAAATAACAAGTTCTCTGTTCGTTAGTCACATCCCCAGGCTCCTCTTATATTTCTTTGGCTTTCCACTATGAATTTTTGTTCTTACAAAAAATAGATGATTTACTGTTATGCAGACTACTGCATTAGTGTAGAAATAGTATAAATAATATCAGCACACTTGTGAAAGAATATTAGACTCACCAGTTGATGTGTATTGGACGCTTGGCATGATTTGTTTACTTTTGAACTTTGGTAAAAATCAAACATTCTGCTACTTTGAGCTCAATTTCAAGGTACTTTTCATTGTAAAACCAGTCAAAACCATCTCAATTTCTGTAATACGTCTTCCATTCTATAAAATGAGACCAGGAAAACTAGAATACAACAATAAACACCATACGAAAATACAGTGCAAAGTCGCTGTTTTAATCCAAAAACACGGTCAGTTTTTTTTTTCTCATTATGCACTGTGTGCTGCAAGATTTTTTTTATACTGCGCACACTGACCACATAGACTCATTCTTTCATATGTAGGCCTACCAGCTTTCTCTCACTAGATTTGAGGGTGCTAGAATTTAAGCGCACGTACGTCAAAAACCCTGGGGCATAAGCCGTACTAGTATGACCGAAACCCTGAAAGGGTTAAATTCCTTGTTCCATTGCTTCTTGCAAAAGAAGTGTTTTAGAGCAGTGAGTGGCAGATGGATGTGAGTCATCAGTTTTATCAGTTGATGCTTCTCATATACTGAATCAGCTGACATCAGACAATGCACTACAGAATTTTCTCATGTATAATAGTGATAAGGAAATTTTTTTATCCAACCTCAAATTCCTTGTCCTCTTGCATGCTGATGTAGAAATGTTTCGAAATTTTTGTAAAATGTACAGACCAATTGCATAGTAGACTTCTGTGGGCGGTCTGTTTTGTTAGCTGTGCCACTCGTTTCATCTTATGATACAACCACATTTCACTGTGTGATTCTCGTGCTTATAATAGAAATAATAAACAATTTCATAGGTAGTAAGTTGGTAGACAGCTACCGCCCAGGGAGGTACTACTACCGTCCTGCAAAGTCGGTGTAAAACGAAAGCCTGTAATTGTATTACACGATGGCAGGATTGCTGGTGTTTTTTGTCTCCTGTACATGCAAGATTTCAGGTACATCTTGCTACTTCTACTTTCACTTAGGTCACACTACACATGCATGTACAAGCATATATACACATACCCCTCTTGGTTTTCTTCTACTTTCTTACTAGTTCTTGTTCTTGTTTATTTCCTCTTATCTCCATGGGGAAGTGGAACAGAATTCTTCCTCCATAAGCCATGCATGTCGTAAGAGGCAACTAAATGCTGAGAGCAAGGGGCTAGTGACCCCTTTTTTTTTTGTATAAATTACTAAATTTAAAAAAAAAAATAAAAACTTTTGTTTTTCTTTTTGGGCCACCCTGCCTTGGTAGGATATGGCCGGTGTGTTGAAAGAAGAGAATAAAGAATTTAAGATTAGGACAGAAATATTTTACTGTACTGTACGTATATGCATTTTTTAGGCCTAGCTATATTGTTAATTTAACATATGATAGTGTAAACATGTTATCAGGCTTTTATATGCATTTGAAAGTGAAAAAAGCTACTATTCACTTTACAGTGGTAGCCTAGAACCTAACCTGTTGTATAAGTGGGGCCTTCTTGTATACATGTTGAGCCAGAGCCAGCTCTTCCCACACTGTATAAATCCCTAAACAGTAAAGGTTATATGCTTGAGCCACTTTAAAACTTTTATTGTATATAAACCCAGGCAAAACTGCATTCTAACATTTTTTAATATAAACATGAATAGTATTCTATTTATAAATGCACTACATAAGTGTGCATTATGAGCAATCTGTTTATTTTTTTTTATTGACACATAGGCCGTCTCCCACCAAGGCAAGGTGCTTCGAAAAAGAAAAACTGTCATCATTCACTCCATCACCATCTTGCCATAGGCATACTTACACTAGAGTTATAAAACTGCAACATTAACATCCCTCCTTCAGAGTGAAGACACTGTACTTCCCATCTCAGGACTTGAGTTTGGACTGCCGGTTTCCCTGAATCCCTTCATAAATGTTACCTGCTTCACACTCCAACAGCATGTCAAGTCCTAAAAACCATCTGTCTCCATTCACTCCTATCTAACATGCTCACACATGCTTGCTGGAAGTCCAAGCCCCTCGCACACAAAACCTCCTTTACCCCCTCCCTCCAACCTTTCCTAGGCTGACCCCTACCTTGCCTTCCCTCCATTCCAGATTTACATACTCTCGAAGTCATTCTATTTTGTTCCATCCTCTCTACATGTCCGAACCACCTCAACAACCGCTCCTCAGCCCTCTGGATAATAGTTTTGGTAATCCAGCACTGCCTCCTAGTTTCCAAACTACAAATTCTCTGCATTATATTCACACCCCTCTTCAAGG